TCTGTGTCTCTGTGTGTCGGTGTCTCTGTGTGTCGGTGTCTCTCCACGTGTCTGTCTCAGAGCGTCTCCTCGAGGCAGCTCAGCTCTGCAGCCTCTTGTAGCAGAGCATCGATCAGCTAACGGCTCTCACCTGCGCTGATTGATCCTCTGGTCCAGGTGACGCTGCTCCACTCCACACACACACATATATGTTGAAGATCACCCTCTAGTGGCCGCCAGCAGTATATCATACAAACCCCGCCTCCTCCGTGTTAGCACATGGAACGTTGACCGAAGCCAGAAAATGTAGGCGCACGTCAGCGTTCATATCCGAAGCAGAGCAGCTCGTCCATCTCGATTAACGTTCGCGGCTTTGAATACAGAGCTGAGGCTTAATGTGATGCTAATGGAGCGAAGTGCCACAGAGGCACACGGACCTTCATTGATATAAATGAGAAAACCTCAGACTGTGCACGTGGACTGTGGAATCACGACGTGCACGGGTTGAACATGTTGTGCTCGGCGCGTGGAAAGAGTGAACGAGTCTCTTGCCTGTTTACATCAGCTGCACAGCAGGTGGCGCTCCGCAGGCCGCAGGTCAGTCTGCCTCCCCCAGCTGGGAGCTCTGATCCCGGGGGAGGTGGCAGCAGACGTGTGGGCCGAGCGGCTGGAGCTCTGGAGTCTGATCTGAGAGCCGCTAGAAAATATATAAACTGTAGAAAATCCTTTTCTCTGTTCAAACTCAATGAGATTTGATTTCCTCACAACTATAATTCGTGTGTGTGTGTTTTTACAGGTTTTATTTGCAGTGTGAGTTCACTGTGCACGTGTGTGTTGGTGTTTTGTGTGCACAGGCGGTGCCCAAGCCCATAGCCATGGAGCCGTGCTGGGGGAGCAGAGCAGGTGTTCTGACGGTGCTGCTGTATCTGCCCAGAGTCCCGTCTGGAACACCTCCGCCTGGACAGTGTGGTACGACACACACACACACACACACACACACATTCACACAACTAAACACACACACACAGATGAGTCAACAGTGCATAAACTTGTCTCTTGTTTCTTTTTTTAAATCTATAAGCTGGTGGCAAAGCTCTCTGGGAAAATACATTAGTGTGTTGGTATAAATATTTAAAGCTCCGATGGAAAATGGCGCCTCCTCATTTTATTTTGTGGTTTGAAACTTGTGATAATTCGTGTCGTCTGATTTGATGTTGGCATGTTGACAGTTTTCACGGATCCTCGAAGTCTAAGATTCAATCATCTGAGTTTGTTAAAATATTGTGAACTTCTTAGGTTTGTATGATTCATTCCTTCTGTCGTGTTCTGGCGGCGTGCAGCGTTAGCTCTGCCAGGCAGGGAATGTTTTTACCCTTTTATCCCTTTTATCCCTTTGTTTTTTGTTTCTTAGCTCAACTGCACAAAAACAACTCAAAGGATTTTTTACAAAACTTAGAGGAAGATGAAGACTTGGTCAGAAAAAGAACACAAACATGTTTGTGCAGATTCTTTAACATAAATCGTCTCATCGTGGACTCACGAACACAGTTTGTTTTCAGATGCTCAGTGATGTGGACACAGAGGCGGCGAGCAGTGCTTATCGTCGGCCATCTTGTGAAACGAGCTCTGGCAGTTCAATACGAAGCTGTCTGAGCCGTCGTCACACGTGTCTTGATGTTTCGTAGCTGCGTCGTCAGTAGAAGATCTGCGGTCGACCCTCAGGTTCAAGAAACGTGACAGATAATAACTTCCACGATGTGTTGGCGCTGAAATCAAACCGTGTTTCTGTTGTGACGCGTGTCTCCACGGTGATGTAACGCGTTGTTCAGAAAAACACGGCAGCTTGGTAAAGTCCGATGTGGTCGGAGCTGCCTGGTTTCCCACTGTCGATCAATTGTTCCTCTCGCTGAGACATCCTGACTTTCCACCGCCTGAGCTCATGTTGCTGCTGCAGGCGGACGACACGCGATACCCCCCCCCCCCCGTCGCCGCAGCCGTAGAAATCAGTAAAAAAAGACAGCAGCACTTCCTCACGGACCCCTGACCGAGGCCCGGAGAGTTCTGCACCGTCAGCACGAGGCCCATCCTCACCCCCCCCCTCCAGCTCATCTTCCACTTCAGACGATCCCGGTCTTTGTGTTTTCCTTCTTCCCCCTTTTTCTCAGTCCGTGGGTAGTTTCTGCTCTTCGCACAGTGGACGGTCTGTAACTGGAGCAGGTGTGAGAGGCCTCGGTTCCTCCAGGCAGGAGGAAAAGGCTTCAACACGGAAAGTACCTGACGGAGGAAGCAGATGGAAAATGAAGCGTTTTGCGAGAAAAGCATCATTGTCAAGCTGGAAGGAGCTTTTATATTAAACTGTGGAGACTGAGCCCTGAGGGAGGGAGGGAGGGAGTGAGGGAGGGAGGGAGAGAGAGAGAGAGAGGGAGGGAGAGTCACAGAAGGTTGAAATGTGTTGTTTAAAACCAAATAAATGTGCAAGATACAAAAAGTAAATGTTTGATTTGAATCAATAATGAATAAGTGTTTAAAGAACGAGTGAACTAGTTTACAACCTGTGTGATATTAAGTTTCTCTGTGACGCTGCAGAATCTCTTCATCTGAACTTTAACTCTAAATGATTCGATTCATTTTCTAACGTGTTTTTCCTCCGGTGTAAATATCCTGAACTCGAACCCAGCTCCGCCTCTGGGGCAGCAGAACTTCTCCAACATAAAAACATTTAGCATTCAGCCCCTGACCCTTCTTATCATCAGCACAGGACCAGCGCTGCGATTGTAGGGTGAGACCAGACTGCAGATCAAATCAGTTTAAGGGCATTTTAAATAGTTTGAACACAGATTGATGGATCAGAATTTAAAGTAGTGGAGGAGTTTTCTCCTCCGGCTGATGTTGTGGACGTGAAGCTCATCAGAGCAGCAGCCGACTCATTTTCAAGAAATTAGGTCCAATAAGTGGCTCATCAGTTCTCGGCAGGATGCTCTCTGGGGGACGTCCGGGCTCCTCTGTTGTTTTTCTCATCGAATCAATGGAATCGCTGTCGTTATCCGTGTTTGAAGCCGGGAGTTCGATGCTGGTTTATGGTGATCGCAGGACTCACACATACAAACACAAGCGATGATGCATCACGTAAACACAACTTCAAAAACTCCAAGCAGCAAAAAAAAGTCTGAGGCTTAAAATGAAATGAATACAAATCGCCCACCCTCCATCCATCCCTGCTCCCTCGCTCCTCTCCTCCCCCCTCCATCCGCCCACCCTCCTCCTCCCCAGAGACCCTGTGCATCGGGTCAGACAGCAGCCCCCCCCCCATTGATGTTAGCATGTATGAACGCCAAGTCACTGCAGGCGAGCTACACCCACCCGCACTTCAAGAGGAATCCTCGATGAGCGAGCCTGTTTTAGCTCCGGCTTCTTTCCACTCTTTGTTTTGGTCTCGTCTCTCCTGAGGCGTCACCATGAACTGACCCTTCGTATGTGAGAACGAGGGAGAGAGAGGGAGAGAGAGAGAGAGAGAGAGAAAACATGCGTGTCGGTTTCAAAAGAGGAGAAAACAGATTCTCATTATCCAAACCTACATTCCTCTCTTACTGCTCCTCTTTCTTTCTTCTCAGGCTTCAGACCAATAAACGTGATTTGTAGATATCGTGTCAGGAAATAAAAAGATCTGCTTCACTGAAGGTTGATGGTTGATGTTCGGCAAAGATCTGTTGAGTCATCTAGATATTCTGGTTTGAGAAGATTGGTTTCCATGTTTGTCGTCCTTAAGTGGAACAAGGAAAGATGATCAGATGGATTTCTGTGCTGTCAGCAGCGTGAGTACGTGAAGGTCCATGTGACGTAAATTTCCTCAGGGTGTGTCACCTTCTAGCAGACGTGTGGAGGCGTCAGCAGCTTCTCCGTGAAAGTGTTGGCAAAGGTAACTGAGGATTGTGTCAACAGGAGCCAGTTGATGTAATGACGACAGCTTCCTGTAAGAGTTTGTCGGGTTCTTTACGTACAAATGGAAACGGGTTCATTCATTAATTGACTAAGACTCTGTGCAGAAGGAGCTGGAGGAAGTTGCTGCTGCACACGTGACTTCAATGTGAGGCTGACGTTGGACGGATGAAACTAATTAACTTCATGTTGTGAAACATTATATTTCCCAGATATCAGTGTTCCTGACATGTGCTTTATTCTAGCCAGGTGTCAAAGTTTAGAAATCCAATATTTTCCAGCGGTGACAGCCCCGTGTTTGAAGAAGTAACAGGAGCCATGTTTTTATCTTGCTGAACCTCAGACACAAGCTTCAGAGGTTTGGAAGCAGCGCACATGCATTTTTTATTTTTCTGTATCAGCTCCGAGAGTCAAACTGTGCGATGAGATTACAAGCTGCAGAAGTGAAGAATGTTTTTTTACCTTCTGTCTGACCTGGAGACAGAAAAGCATTCGCGTTTGAAAAAGATCTCGATGACACACAGATTTCTCCGTTGAACAAATTCTGCAGTAAAATGTTGCAGGCCCGATAATTCAACAGCCAGACAGCGATTTTATTTCTCACAGCCTCTGCTTCAGTTCATTTTCCTCCCGTCGCTGCTGCGTCTCTACTCGCTGCTTCCTGCAGCTGCCGATGTTTGATTTTTAAATTGTTTCATATAAAATGGGGCTCAATCAGCGGTTTTAATGGATTTACCAGGCTGCACACTCAGTTTCCTGCAGCAGTGTTGTTTGGGTTGGAGAGGAAGCGACTACATTTCATTCTCATTCTGGCTCCAGCTTTAGATTGTGGGTCAATAGAGACAGAGGCGCAGAAGCATTCACAGCCGCCTCTCCCTCCGCTAATCTGCCTATTCAGCAACAGAGCCAGACCTGGGAATATCCGAGCTGGAGGGGGGGGGCGGGGGGGGACATGCAGGTGCCGTAAGATGTCGAAGTCTTTGTGGGTAAAAATAGAGCAGAGACAGAAGAAAGAGGCATTAAAGGGCTTTGAAGTTCGATTTGTTCTTAGAAATACACAGAAAGTTGAAGACGTTTCAGAGGAAACAGAAAAAGACGGAGCAGGCGATAAGTTGTGTTGTTAAACGAGTGCACAGGCTGATGGAGAGACTTAATGGTGACGCCTCCTCAGCCACTAAAGCAGATTGGCGTATCGCCGCAGCGAGGAGGAGGTGATAAGTGATCGGATCGTCACGCCTTGATAAACGCACTCCCGGTCAGAACCAAACTCTACTTGGTCATGTGCTGCCGGAGTCCCCATCTGTAGATATGCTCTCTGTTAATGACACGGCATCATTTTATAATCAATTGCAAATTATTTCGCAGACACTCAAAGCTATGGGTCGCGGACCCTCGGCGGTCTGAGGACCCATCTTTAAAACTACCCACGCTCCCGTCACACCCGCTGATATTCACTCGTGTGTATATGAACACGAGGATTTGATCGTGTCGAGTCATCGTCCGTATCTCACCTGCTGAGAAACCTGCCGTTAAAGAAATCTGCTTTAAAATGACAGAACAACATTGACTCAAGGACTTCCTGATTTTACAGCTCGGATCAAAAAGCCAGTTTTATTTAATCGCACACATCAACACTTCGTGACGTCGTTCTGCTGCTGCCTCAGATTTGTGGCGACGTGCTCCTGCTTCTCTATTGTTCTCTTCCATCACATATGTTTTTGGGTGATTTAAAAATATTAATATATGGTAGTTTGAGGATTTTCTTCATCGTGCGTTCTTCAAACATCTTGAGGAGACGTCCTACCACAGGCTGCCATGTTCCGTTAATGAGTCCGAGTCGGGATCAAACCTGAATCTTACAGTGGAACATCAAAGTGGCCGTGGTTGTGTGTCGTGTTTACCGGTCGTCTCAAACCTGGAATCGGTTCCGTGCAACGTGTATAAATATTTGAATATCAATGTGTTGCTGTTTGACTGACTTTGATTTTCTTTTGACTTTGTGGAACAGACGCTGCCGAGGTATTTTCTGTTTCTTATTATACTGGATTCAAGACTTCCGTCCCCGGTGCCTTCATCGAGGGCAAAGCACAAACTCAGCTGCCGCACTTTGATGTCAGGAAGTGAAGGCGGGCCGGGGTGTGAGGTTTGTCACCGGGCGGGCGAGAGGGCTCCTCCCGTCACAGATGTTTCTCAGATCCAGTCCCAGTTTCCACATCACACCGGTGCCGATTTGTTTTCCTGGGGAATTTAGTCTCCTGCTAATGACCCCATTAGTCGATCCGGAGGAGGTGGTGTGGGTGTGTGTGTGTGTGTGTGTTTGTGTGTTAATGATGCGTCAACTCACCTGACAGAACAATCACATTAACGCTCCCCGTCGCCACGACAGCAAACGAGCACTCGCACTCACCTGCAGGGTGATTTGATTACTTTTGACCAATTTAATTTTGCAAATGGAGACGTGTGTGTTCACCCGGAAAAATCAACACAATTATGAAGGCAATTTGTCAAAAGGTGAAGATGTTTTGACGGAGGAACATTCAGATGTCACGTTAGAAAATCAATTATCTTTCCATTTTTGAATTTTTTCGTTGGAGGGAGTTTGAAAACTGGACTTTGTATGAGAGCCTGAGGGATGTGGATGTTTGGAGCCAGACACTCGGCCGATATCATTTGATGGCTCAGACATTTGGTTTTTATTATTATGAGTTTCTTGCAGACTGAGTCTTCGTCAGCAGGAACATCGTCTGAGTCTGAATCTTCTTCATCGTAGTTTTCATCGTGAAATTCTCCGTCGCTCAGATCATCGGCCATCATCTGTAACTCTGCTTTAAAATCTATTCGGCAAACAAACATCAGGGAACTGAACACGTGTGTCAGAACTAGATGGGTTTAGAACGTTTACATTTAGTCGTTCTGCAAAATAAAAGTTTTTATATTATTAGATTATTTTTTATTTATATGTCTTCGACGTCTTTAGATGATGTTGGTGATTTCAAACATCTGGTTTCACTTTCCGAAAGTTTTTGTTCAGAGCAGATTAAATGAGAAAATGAGAAAAATCTTTTTCCATTTTCTTTACTTTTTATAATCTATCAATCATTTCTTTAATCCTTGTCTTTATCATATCATCGGTCTGGATTATGTATTTGATGCTTTAAAGCTGCACATCAGATGTTTTAATTTCACGTTGACGACTGAACCTCTCGTATTCTCCCCCGACCGATAAAACGTGATGTAGTGACGTCTGTGGATTTGTTTCTGAGTCATGTTTAAATTTCATGCTGAACAGATTGATGCGGCTTCAGAAGGTGAGTTCACTCTGGAATTATAAAGAACATTTGCAAACAAGCAGTGTTGGCCTTTGGACCAAATTGCAAATTACCAGAGAAACAAAAAGCCAAATCTAGAGTAAACACACACACACACACACACACACACACACACACACACACACACACACACACACACACACACTGATACAGCCGCTGCCAGAGAGAAACAAACAACCATAACGAGCGTGTTCCAACAGACCAGGTGCTGTTATCCACCTTCCCTCCATCGCTCTGAATGAAGCGAGCACATGTTGCTAACGTTGGCCGTCATCTCCGTCTTCATGTGGCAGAACTTTGCAGCACGTGCACGTGCACAGGTGCATTAACACACCTCCAGTATTAACACAGTCAAACACACACACACACACACTGAGCCAGGGTGTAATCGGCTTTCCCCTTTCCCCCCACGGAAAAAAAGAAGAAAAAAAATCCCAAGAATCACTTGAGTGTGAAATGCTGCAAACGTCCTGCATCCAAATCATATCAAGAGCACAGCAGATTTCCTGTTTTGTTTATTTGGCTCCTGCTCGCTGGCAGATTGAGCGCTCGCTGTAATGACCATGCATTGTCAGGCCCACGGTTGTCGGGAGAGGAAAGACACGACGAGCTGCACTCACAGCTCCAGCTGCCATGACTCTAAATCCACATTAACAACAGCAACTGCTGCCAAGGAAACACAAAGCTGTGAGGCTCCTGATGCCTCGGTGCATCCGGCCGGTTCTGTCTGAGCCTCAGTGTGAGGAGCGAGTCGAACATCCGATACCGAAGTAGTTTTCTAAAGGTGCGACGTCCTGCTGGACGAGGGAAAGAGGAGGAGAGGGGGTTGATCCGCTTCAGCGGCTTCGGCGTGTGTCTGAATCCAGACAGTGTTGTGACGAGACGTCGGCCGGATGAAGCTTCTCACTGTGATGTTCAGAGTTTTCACGTAACGTTCACTTCTTTTGCACCTTGTTGATTTCTTCCATTTCAACCTTTTCCGTGGCCTCGGTCAAAATCTTACATTTTACCTTCATGCTAAATATTATAAAATGTCTTCACGGTGTTTGTGATTTAAAAAACAAAAGGGTTCCTACAACAGAACCTTGTGGGACGCCACATTCATCTAAAACAGCATTTCATTCTCGGTTAACTCGTTTTTTTTGTCTTGGTTTCTAGGCATCGCTATAGCCAGTGCTCTGGTGGACGCATCGCAACAGCGAGCGATGGACTTTAAGGACCGAGGCCTCGGACTCAAGCATCGCAAACACACCGTGCACCATCAAGGGACCTGTGTATGAACTGGATGATGACACGGAGGGAAAACACAGCGCCTGTAAAAAAAAATAGGTTTGATGATCGTTGTGGATCGATGGATGGACGTTGTAACAGGAACCTGGGAACATGGAACTCTTGGTCCCTTCGTTTCCTGGATTTGATGGAACAACTTCCTCAACAGGCTCTTTCTGTCGGTGTGTTTACGTTAAATCTGATGATTCGTAAATCAACAATTAAAACTTCAGAGCGACGGTGAGGCTGTTTCTCCGTCGAGGCTTCGGTCAGATATTTGCTTCGGGAGCCGGAAGATGTTTTTGTCTCACTCTCGTCCAGTGAACTGACATGGACCTGATGAGATCAATGCAGAACTGATTATCTGCTGGAGGACAAAGTCTCATGGGAGTTTTTCTAAAGACGCTCTGGATTTATCCGTTCAATCATCAAGTACATTTGTTTCTTTACTGGATTTTCCTCGTGTCAGCATTTGAAGATCTACATCATCTGCTCAGGTCGTCTGGAACAGAAGCGTCCTGCTCTCTGCAGCCGTGGGTCTTCTACACACGTGTACGTGCACTATAGGTGAAATGCTTTACCGACACACTAGGGACCTGTGTGGGATAATAATATGATAATATGCAACTGACCATTCAAATGTAATGTTGGCTGCAGTGACACCTGCAGGTCAGTATCAGACTCAAACTACTGATGGTGTTCCTACGCCTGCTCGTTCATTTAATACTGTGAAAGTTCAGTATTCAACTTTTTACTCGACCGACAGTAACTTTCATGCCTGTTACACATTTTTATACGACTTATCTCCCGTGTAATATTTATTAATAATGCAAATTCAAGTTAAACAATAATTAAGCAAGTTTACAAATGCACTAAGGACTTTTTTTTTTTTTTAAGGTTTATGCAGGATTTATGTTTTCATATCAAATATTTCATGTGATGTCACTTCTTTCCTTTTCCCGACTGTGTTAAACCTTCATGTGATATCGAAGTGAAATCACTTTTCATCGACTGCACTCAGAGAATATTTACGTCTTTAAAGCTCTTTTCTTTTGTCTCCATTTCATTTTGCACCAGTTTGTTGTTGAGACTTGTTTTAACAAAGGGCAGCTCACCTCCGTGTTTTTATCCACGTGAGCATAAAATCTGTACATTTACATTAAAACATTTTGATGACTCTTCGTACGGTAACTGGAGCCTGTGTGTGTGTGTCTGAGAGTGTGTGTGTGTGTGTGTGTGTGTGTGTGTGTGTGTGNGTGTGTGTGTGTGTGTGTGTGTGTGTGTGTGTGTGTGAGAGTGTGTGAGTGTGCGGTGTGTTCTTACCTCTGGGTTTTTGTGGGTCCTATCGATCAGGATGTCGACAGGCTCCGATGATGAGCTCAACGTCATGATGGACTCTCCTGACACATCCAGGACTTGAATGATAAAAACATTATATAAACATTATACAAACATTATATAAACATTATATAAACATTATATAAACATTATATATGATCGACCCAAATCAAAATCCAAATAAACTGAGTTCTGATACAAACAATTCTTCTTTGACCATCAGGTTTGAACTGCAGAACTCTGATTCTGATTCCTGTGAAATGAAATCACTCTTCCACATGAATCATGTTCTTTTATGAAAGTAAAACAATAGAAACACCTATTTTCTATTAGAGCATCAGTCAGTAGAGGCCGAACAACCCGACTCATGATTATTAATATTATATAATATATGAGATTAAAGCCAAATTGAACGGGTTCGTCCCCGACCTCATCCTGGTGATGCAACGAATAAACCAACATCCAGTAGAATCCTGCTGTGACAGTAGAAAGTAAAAGTAGAAGAGACTGAAGCTTAACATCTGATCTGAACACGTTGGAGAAAGAAACTCGTTCCTGGATGATGCAGATCCATCAGTGAATGGATTCCTCCTCTGGTCGGACTCACCTCCATCTTGTTTCTGCCAAACACACATTAATAAATCCTCCGGAAGCACAAATAGGTTGAGACTTTGCAAACAAAGGTTGTTTTAACGTCCACGTTTCTTCTTCTCTGACGAATGAATGCGGCGCGGCTTTTAAAACGGACCGTGGATTGTGTCGTCCGTCAGGAGGCGGCGGGGGCGGGATCATCGAGGGGAGAATCAGACACTTGAACTATAACCGGCAGGAAACAGCAATGGTCATTCTTTCCAGGGAACGGAAGCGGAGGATGAAACGATTTTCAGAATCCTTCACAGTCGAGGATGTAGATGTTTTCTCCTCTCGTAGCTAATGTTCGTCTGCTGAACAAACTCGATCGTTTCATTTGGCTTCAATTTTTCTCAAACTGCATCAACAGAAGCTGTGACTCTTTTTCTCTCTCTGTTTATCCGACGTTTTCCTTCCTTTAAAAAATCGAGTCTGGAACTTGAAAGGCCGGCGAACCTCCCGAGGTCAATGCTGCTGCTGTCGCCACCATTAGTGACCAGCAGGAGCTAAGTGCTTGTTTTTTACGCTCTCAGCTCACTCAGGTTTTTTTTTTTTTTCCTCCTCCAGATAAAAGACTGCAGTGTTTTGCATTAAGTGCTGCTGGCATCTGCGTTGTGTTCGATACCTGCACGTCAGCGGCAGCGGAGGAGCCGCACTCGTCCTTTTATCCTCATCTCGTGCTTTTACACCGGCTCCGAGGATGAAACACGGACGTGTGTGTTTTCAATGTGAAGAGGCTGAAAACCTGAAAACACAGAAAAGATGGAAGACATCTGTTTTAAATCTCTTTTCTCTCCTGGAGAAAATCAAATCTAAATAAGTTCCTCATATCTCAAAACACACTCACACACACACACACACACACACACACACACACACACACATCTCACTGATCATGATCATGTTCTTGTGCAGAGATTTCTGTCAAACTTATTTTTTGTTTTGCATATCGACAAAGTTTTATACAACAACACAAATAACTTGAAATTCTTTTTTTTTACATTAAAACATTTTTGTTTCCGATAAAACAGATTTTTATTTTTGACGTGTTCACAGAGACGAGACGGATGTTTGTGATTCTGCAACTTCAGGACGAGATTTCCAGACATAAGCTCAACGTCTAGTCTGGAATCACTTTCATTAGTAAAATCAACCTCAGACACACACACACACACACACACACACTCAGTGCGTCCTTCTCAAGGACTGTTCAGTAATAAAACTGATTACGTCTCCTGGTTACAACTCGTCCTCTGTCCCTCTCCGTCCACCTCTCTCTCTCTCTCGTTCTCCTTCTCATCCTTCCCTCTTTCTCTTCTGTCTGCTCACTGTATCTCCCCATCTCCTCCCCCTCTCCTCCCCCCTCCTCTCATGGAGGACTCAGGGTCAGCTGAACCACGTCCTTGTGATTGATGCCTCATCCAGGCCTCAATCTTTATGCCATTACGGGCCAATTACAGCGGGTTATTCGGGCCGTGGTCTGAGGACGAGTGACCGGGGGAGGGGGGATGGACATGGACACGCTGGATTACAAAGCACACTGGTGTCCTACACACACACACACACACACAAAACCGCTCAGCGCCCTGTGACGCCGTGAAGAATGTCACCCCTGCCAGTATCGTCCTCTACTGTATCCCAGCATGCACTGCTCTGTCATAAGTGGCTTTCTGCCCCAACAATGAGTCTCTTTCTCTCCTCGGAGCTCAAAGTGAGGGATGACAGAGGAAGAGGAGTGAAGATACTGACGATCGATTATTAAACGTTAATTGTCATGGACGCTCGTAGGAGGGTCAGTCAGCTGACGGGCTGAGGTGACCAACTTCCTGTTTAGTCATAGTGTGTGTGTGTGTGTGTGTGTGTGTGTGTGTGTGTGTGTGTGTGTGTAAAACACCAAACATTTAACTCATCGGTCAAAATCAACAAGAACATGTTTATATATAATATAAGTTAAACATATTTGGTTTATATATTTGTATATATTGTGGTGTTGGAAAGTTTTTATACTTAATATTGGTATTGGCTTAATATATTTTTACGTATTATATATCATCATATATTTATTTACTACAAATCCAAACGATAATGTCTGTGAGAGAAAAGTTTGACGCTGGAGGTAAAAGAGTTTCTGCTTCATGAAGCTGTGACGAGAAAACGATGTTGTTCATCGTAACGTTCACGTCAGAGTTCGCTTCTCTACAAAACAGCTGTTGTCATCAAAACTACGATGTTTAGGAAAACTGAATAATAAACCTGAGTGTGTGAAATTCTTCAGATAAAATGAGCGAGATGGAAACTTCAGCAGCAGAGATTTAAAGAAAGATTTAATTTTCAGGTGAGACAAAGTTTCCTTCCTCCTCCTGAGTGAAGTCTTCAAGCTGCTGCAGGTGAAGATCAGTTCAAACATCCACTGACGCCAGCCTGAGAGGAAATAGCTCTTTAATGACTCTTGATAATCTGCAGCTCTGCAGGTTCACTCACTGACGGATGCAACGTCTGACTGACGTGTCTGTTGTTAAGCTCCGGGGGTTTGATTCCTCGGTTCTGTAAGTGACACTAAATCTTTTCTGGGGGGGGGGGGGTAAAAGAATTACTGTCTCATAAGAATCATTAAAATACTTCTGAGTGATTCTGACTGAATCTGAAGTTCCAGCTGTAAATCGTCTCTTATTAAAAACAGGAGTCTGCGTATGAGCCTCGGAGCTGCGGAGTTCTTAATTAAAACTTCCTTTGTTGGAGGTTTTCAAGATGGCGGCGTAGAGGACGGACGCAGTGAAACCAGCTCCTGTACATATTCCTACTTTTCGCTCCAGACCCGTGCKAATYTGCCATAGAAACGACCACCGTTTCGTTCTATAACTAAACTAACAACTAGAAATGCCGCCGAAAAAAGCTGATGTGGGGGCGAGGGAAGATAAAGCTGGAAAGTCCACTTTATCAGCAACACCTGTTGCTAACGCAGTTACTAGCGTTAGCTCCACCAACGTCAACGCCGAAGGACCGCCGACATGGTTTCATGAAGAAATGGCAAAAGGTTTCGACAAAATTCAAGTCCTGCTGGACCAAAAGCTAAACCCTTTAGCBGCCTC